TGGAGCTCGACACTGCAGAGTGACGTTCTGCCCGACGGTTGCTGTGGTGGCTGTGAGGTTCACGTGGACTGAAGGAGCGAGAAAGTTACAGAGAAATGAGAGGATGGATTCACAGCTTTGATGATATGAAAGGAGAAGTAAAAATGAGTCAAAGACACATGAAGGGGAAGACAAATGTGCATTTTCTTTTCAGGAAGGGGGCGAGTTACATTACTGCTTCATTAGACATTCAAACATAGGTCACTTACAAGTCAATGTTCCTTACAACTTTGTTCAAGCATTACGTTTGATGTACTGTTGCGTTAGCATAGATCAAAAGTGAGATTTTTCCAGTACATTCAATCACACGTAATCCCTGAGGTGAGCGATTTCTCTCTTGGTCGCCTGTGTTTTTGTTGTTATTGTTGTTGTTTGTTGTTGTTGCCTTAAAAAAAGGGAATCTTTTGAAAAGTTTTACTATTTTGAAGTGACTTGTGAAAGTAAATAATAGAGACATGTTACTGTCTTTTGTTCCAAATTTTATAGTTTTTTACACAATCCTGTGCAATAGTATACACATATGATTATAACCCTAGTTTTATTATCAAAGGTAATGCAAAGATATGCAGATGGATTAAGGACTGATCACTGGAACAAGCCGCTGCAGTTCTACAAGGTCGAGAGCTCTGCAGCAGGAACTCGATGAGCTTGCTGGATTTTTTCTTATGTTTGCAATGATGTGATCATTGCAAACATGCACACACACACAACACGGAGGAATCACCACCCGGAAGACCGTTCCACTATGGGCTCAAATTGTGGTCATAAATATTTTGTATTTGTAAATCAGAATGTGTAGTTGTGAACTGAGTTTTGTAACTCAGTTCACAACAAACACAGAATTTGTGTGTTTGCAAAAAAAATATTTATACAAGTTATAAATAGTTTTTGTTTAAGTCTGGTTACAGATACAAAGCAAAAAACTATGTGCAAAACTGTGCTCAAGTTTCCTGGATGTGTGTGAGTTGGGGGTTTTTTTGGTCCTTTTTTGGCCCGTTTGGTACTTTAGTGATCAGAATTATTGTCTGAAGGCCACTACAGCTTTGCCGTATAGTAATTACAGACAAGACGGGACTGGAGGATAGGAAAGAGAAAAAGAAATAAAGAAAGGGAGGGAGGAAGAGAAAAACAAAGGGGACAAGGGACAGTATGAGAAGTAATACTATAAAAACGCTGGATCACCTGATGAAAGAAAAAAATGAAAATGAAAACAAGCATCAAAGAGCAACACAATATGGGGACCACAGCAACAACCTAGATAAGTAACAGTAAATAGTAAATATTGACGGTTGTTTTGCAGCATGCAAGACCGACAGCGCACAATGTGCTTTGAGGTAGCAGCCAAGGAATATATAGTTTGTATCTGTGATCACCCATGTGTACACCGTTGTGTGTGAGCGCACTTCTATTCAAAAGGTTTCTCCATGTAACGATCTGATAGAGGGTATAGGGAGCCATACCCCATAGTCACGGGGGAGTTCCAGGCCCCAGACATCCAGAGGCCCCCAGTGCATCAGAACCCAAAGAGGACCATTGGAGGGGTAACCTTTCTTCCCAGAAAGACCTGAGGACAGCCCCAGGAGTAGGGTAACCCAGCAGCCATGGTGCAGAAGTCACAGGGACTGCAATGATGTGCCCGTGGGCTCCGCCGGCAGCCAGCCGCGTCAGAGCAGACCAGGACCCAGAGGCCCGAGGTCTGAGGGGCCCCCCACCTCCCGGAATGGGCCCAAGTCAGCCACGGGCGCCAGGCCCCGCTAAACAGCCACCTGGAGTGTGCCG